GGCACCACAGTCCTGTCAGGGCCCAGGGGCACCAGCGGCCTAGCAGGGGCACCACAGGCCTGCCAGGGGCACCACCGGTCTAGCAGGGGCACCATGGGCCTGTCAGGGGCCCCACCGGCCTCGCAGGGGGCACCACCAGCCTCGCAGGCATCACGGCATCACGCAGGGGCACCTTGGGCCTGTCGGGGGCATCACGGGCCTGTTGGGGGCACTTTAGGCTTGTCAGGGGCACCACAGTCCTGTCAGGTCCCAGGGGCATCAGCAGCCTAGCAGGGGCACCCTAGGCCCGCCAGAGGTACAGCCCACCGCTAAAGTAATGTAGGGTTTTACCAAACTCAACGGTTGGCTTTGACTGGCGATTGTTTAAAGGTAGTGTGCCAGCTTTCCTGGACCGTATGGAGTTAATGGCCCAGATAAGGAGAACCGGATTTTTAGAACTTATCCATACCTTCAAAACTCATGGAAACGTCTTAAATTCTTCAAATTTTGAGTACCCCAGTGCGAAATTCGCCCCGACGGGTTGTCGGTCGTACCCCAACCACATTTCACACCACTATGAACAATAAATGCACACACTGAAATCGCTATTACCGATATGCTCATCCAATCAAGTTTCGATAAACCCGTTCATCATCAGCTCCTGCGGTTTCGAACACGCCTGTTAGGTGGTGCGGTCAGTGGCGGATCCAGGGGAGGGCAAAATGGGCATTTGCCCTCCCCAAAGCCAAATCGTGTGGGCAAGACTATCTTTTTGCCCCTCCCAAAGCATATAGCGATGAGCAAATCTAATACGGCGTCGATGCCTATATGGACGAAAAGCAGGGCTTCTTTCCGTGACGGCCATTCCGAAGGAAGGAGCTGCCCACTGGCTGCTGATATTTTGGGTCGATATGCTGATATTAGATTGAGCCCCCTGAACTGAATGCATGCATATGCATTATGCAGTGTGACCATGGTGTGGGGTAACACGGGGCAAGATGCCCAGTCGGGTAAGACGCCCACCACCCTATATTCAAAATTACCTAAGCAATCCACAGTTTTGCCATTTGTTGGGAGCCTCATTGCTGTGGAGCGTTCCGCGTAAAAAAACGGCGACGTGCCTAGCCGTCATTTTATACCTATTTTTTGCATATGTTCTGAAAATTTCAGACCAAGGTCTCTCAAGGTCACGAAGTCACTAAGCTGCACGTCAAGTGACATAACCTAAAAACAGTTCCAATGCTTGCCATAGCTAAACCGAGTGACGGATCGCTTTGAAACTTTCAGCAGTCCCTTTAGTAGTCCCATAGTCCCTTTAAAGGGACTATCCCACCTTCTAAAATGTTGTTAAAACCAGTTAAATTGTGCCCGACTTTATAGATTGGATGACCAGGAACACGGTTCTGGCATTTATTTTTCATTAAACATCTTAGGCTTCCCATATTCCAAACACAAACTTTCAAATATGTGACGTCACAGCCCAAAATTACCTCCTTCCCCAGGCCACATTACTGTCATAAAGCTGATTCTTTTTACTCTGTAGGCACCACAACAAAGTTCAGATCAAGTTTTAAGCGATTTTTCAACGAACAAACCCATTTAAATCAGAATGACTAAACGAGGTGACGTCACACTAACGGTCGCTCCATGTTGAAGATAGGGCCTTGTACAAGGCCCATTTTCAAATGAAGGGAACGAATTTCTTCAACACCAAGAGGCCGCGGGGGTTGCAACCTAGATAGATAGTGGTTTCTGAACCTCGCCGCAAACTTGGCTATCTCAACTCAAACCCCATGTTAAAGGTGGGATAGTCCCTTTAATAAGGGTAACAGTACCTATGTACAAAATGTTAGTCACATGATTTTTACTTCAATGACCTAGGGCTAGCTCATTTTTGCGACCTCTCCACTATAAGTCAATAAGAGAAAATTGAAAGGCACCTTTTTTTGGGCAAACCTCCTGTCCGGTATAGCTCAGTTGGTAAAGCAATGGACTCTGAGCCCGGGTTTGAGTCGCTCCGGCGCTCGATATTTGAGACTCCTGACGGGGATGGTCTGAGGTTGGTGGGAGCAGCCGCAGCCAGTCAAAGTCAGGAGTGGGACAGGCCGTGTCCGGCTTTGAAGGGCACGTTAAACATTGGCATCGTTAAACGTTAAACTAAATTCTCCTGTCACCCGGAATTACGCGATCGGACGGTAGGGGTCGGGCTCTACGCAACAAGCTCTGCTTAGCGTAGGCTCCGGCTCCCGTAATCCGCCCTTTCAAACATTCGTGCTAAATTTATAAGAAACGTCACTCTTAACAATACCGAGTTACAACCTAAACAGCACACAGTGAACCGGAAAATAGCGCCCGTGACCCCTCCTTATGTCCCTGAGATCATCTCAGGTCACGAAAGATATGCAATAGTTTGCAGCAATTCGCTAATAACTTCTGCCGGAGGCATTCTAGAGCAATAGAAACACCTTAGATGTGTTCAGCTTTACGATACGGATCGACTGATATGCAACACGACCTTTTCCGGTCAGGTCATGACTTGACCAAATGTCAAAGCTGTAAGTTCAATTTTGAGATCAAATTATAACTCATTCGACGCGTCTTCGCGAGAGGAACACGATGCCGGTAAAAGTAAGATCGCACAAGGTTTGATTCAAAAGTTATCGCAGAAAATCCGTTCCCGTAAAAATAGTATATATTATGGCAGTTTCCCCTGGAGGCTAAACCGTTGATCTTGGGCCCAATCTGAGCGAATTATCCAGAAAGAGCAGTTACAGTGCTATCAAAATAGCTTTTCTGGGGCGCTCTAGCTCTATTCGTTTCCGAGTTATGCGCCAGTTCTTCAAAAATTGTCGAAACTGGACCTAAATATTATCGGAATTTGGCCTTTGATGGGCTCTGGTGATCTGACATCTGACCTGACCTTAAAAGTGACTGGGGTAATTTGGTCATTATGTTTGACACTCTTTCAAACGCCGCCTACCGCGTGTTGCTACGTGGCACAGGAGCCGAGTTAGAAGGGATATGGGTGTTCAAACATCCCCCAGGGGCGTGAAAATCCAGGAGCCCCAGCGCGGCTGGGCACGGGTTAACATAAGACATTTTACACCATCATACGGTAAGATGGTGTAACTGGCGTTGTGAAGTAACTTGGTCACTGGCGCGGTGGTGGCTCGGGGTCGCCGATGGTCGGCTAAACTTTTGCCCTCCCCAAACGGATCGGCTGGATCCGCCCCTGGGTGCGGTAGACCGCGCCCAAAGCCAGGGCCCCGGTAACGTGAGGTAGCCGAGTCAGGGCAGCGTGCGCTGACCCAAGCCGGAGCCGCACGTCCTCCCGGTGTCATGTGATAGCCCGGGGCTGCCCGCGGGGATGCGGTAGACCGCGCCCAAAGCTGCGGCCCCGGCTTGGGTCAGCGCACGCTGCCCCGACTCGGCTACCTCACGTTGCCGGGGCCCTGGCTTTGGGCGCGGCTTCTGCTCATACTTTGTGGTGCGGTGGTGGTGCGTCGGGCTGCGCGCTCTGACTTCGGCCAAGAAAAATGCGTCAGCTGATCATTGTCATTTCTGCCACTTGCGTGTGGTGAAATGGGGTCATAACTTATGAGACGGCTTTTTCATATCAATTATTTTACATAAAATCATATTTCAAACCATAAATAATGTTCGACAGCCAAATAAAAGAAACAATACCAATACAGGCTTACAGTTTAAGGCTCGACATTGTGTTGTCTACGATTAGACAGCTGATAACTCATTCCCGTACGTCGTAACTCTATAATGACCTATGCTTATTGTCACATGTGCGCCGCATTCGCGATTGTTGCCGACGCCTGTTTGCAGGTGAGCCCACTACAGTTGTTATACATATCGAAAAACCGATAAACTTTTAGGCGAAAAAGGCACTATTCCAGGCCCATTTTTGATTTTTTTTGCGATATTAGGTAAAAACAGAAGCTTCTTATCCTAGGAAAAATAAAATGGGAAATCTTTCAAAGGTGGCACACTACCTACCTTTAATGCGAAGTGATTGAAAAGAAGATGCCAATAGCTAAAGTTGCAGCTGCAAGGGTGACGATACATATAAGCTACATTCAAAGTTTCATTGTAGTCTGGCTAATCGTTCCTAAGCTTCAGAAGCAGAACATACCCATGACTGAAACCCCACATTACTTCTGCTGTGGACTGTACCACAGGCCTGCCAGGGTCCAGGGGCACCACAGGCCTAGCAAGGGCACCACGGGCCTGTCAGGGGCACCTCAGGCTCCCGTGCCCCCCCCCCCCCCCCAGATCCGCCAGTGATGCCACACCACGCGAAACACCGCCAACTACCAGCTGCCGCGCCATAAACACGTGCCAACAACAGTCTTTTTTTTAAGGTCGACTCCGCTCGCGCAACTTTTGACTGACCCTCACTGCTACTATATTGCTTCTATATTATGCTGTGGAAAGCTTTACTTCACCAAGTGGCTAAAAACCTCCATCAAGGTATATTTTCTTAGCAATTTTTCTGGCGTTTTGGGGGGGGGGGGCAAACAGGCCACTTTAGGCCTTTGGGGGGGCCATGGCCCCCGTGGCCCCCCCCCTGGATCCGCCAGTGCCTACTTACGTAATACGTATTCTTCCATTTTTAAAGTGACCATCCCACCTTAACATTAGTTTTGAGTTGAGATAGCCAAATTGGTGGCCATGGCCTTCAGTACCGGTTTGGGCACTCACAACAACATCGAAAAATGCTTTAATTCGGAGATATGGAATTTCAAACTTGCAGTTTTCGGATTCTAAGGGGCGACTGCACCGGAATGCCCCCTTAGAATTTGTGATGTCAGCGGAGATCTAATGATTTTAAATGTTTTACTAAAATGTTTGGTAGCACGTTGTGGTATATGCTGTTTTAAGCGCAACAAGTGCCGCACTTTCAAATAGTCGCTAGGAACAGCAGAGAATCCAATAAGTAAACAAAAGTAAAAGCCTAATATCTTGAAATCCAGTGAATATTTTTCGGTGAAATTCAGTGTGGCTAAATTCATTTTACGTTAGGGGGAAGATGTAGAAAAAAGGCCGGAAAGGATGTCGTTATTTTCGTAAAACTTGACTTCGACCCGTTTTAAGCACTGTTTTGATGTGTCTCGAGAAAATGATGTAGAAATATTAGATACTGATTTTGATATTTGGGATGATACATAAGGTTTTTAAGTCGTGTCATATATTTGAACATTTTGGTTATTCGAATGGTTGTCTTGGCACGTTGTGAAAGTTTGCGAGGTTTGTGTTTCTCTTGCTCCTAGGCGTTTGGGTTCGAGGTTGTTATTATAAGTCATGCCTGCCGTATGGATGCTTTTATTTATATTTTTAGGATGTGATTATACTTTTCATTATGGGTGGATTTCCCCGCGTCATTACAATTTTAGACACACTGGTGAAATTTGGTACATATTCATTTTTGATCTTTCTGAACCAAGGGACATCACCTCTATGCCAATTCATTAACTTTCTTGAAGGTGGGAGGGTCCCTTTAATGCGCTAAATCCAGATATGATGATAAGGTAGGTGTCTCCAAAATATTAAAAAGAAACATAACCAGACCTTACCTAACCTCAAACCTGACGCAATGATTTTGTATAGGCATCCATGGGTAAGGAAGAAGCTTCAACAGTGGGAAATGGAAAGTACCATCATGTAGGTCGCCATGAGACAATTCTAATAGTATTTACCCAGTTTTAACCTTTGCCCCAGTGGGGGGGGGGGGGGGGGGGGGCATTTGTTACCACCCTGTCAAGTTTTTTGCGTGTGAATAAAAAACTGGTGCGAAGCGCCTCACTGCTTGGAGTAGCTTGTTCATCATTTTTTGACAACATATGAAATTTTTGACCCCAGATTGAGGTCATGTCAGCCTGCCAGGTCAGGAGGAACAATAAAAATATTTCAGAATTGCAATGATTTGGATTACTTGTGACAACAAAGGTGTCTTTGGCTGCTAGCCTGCCCTCTACGAAGGTCATCAGAGATCATTTGAGGCTACAGTTTTTTCATATAAAGCCAGGATCTAAATGCTAAGTATAGGAGCACCTCCATTATTTTCCTGCTGCATTCAAACCATGTCATTGTCATTATTGAGAGATGTTTTATGGGTATTAATTCCATAAGGAATATTCAATTATTGGTGGTGATAACTCTGCAACTTTGTATTTTCTTGCTACATTACTTCTCCGTTTTGTGCTTTCATCTAGTCAACTCAATGTGAACTGACAAAGGACATTGGACCCTATTCCAGATCCACCAGTGTCTGAACTACTGCCGCTCATGCGGGCTGCATCAATGTCACCAAAAGGACCAAAGTGGTCTCTGGAGGGCTCCGCTGACAGCGACGGGGAATGGGGTCCGTCACAGAGTGTGAGGAAGTCTCAGAGGCCGAGGAACTGCACTCCCATAGACAGTGGCTCTGAGAGCGACTTTCGGCCAGTTGTGAAGGAGGAGATAAAGATTGAAGTCACTTCACCAAGGGTACGTGTTCAAATGCATGGTGCTCACCTCTCATTGGTTTTTAGCTGCGAGGTTAATAAAAGGGAATGACAGCGCATAATGTGTTCCAATTTGTATATCTGTGGAGGATAAACATCTCATGTTTCATTGAATATTGTTTGTCTGTTGATCCGGTCTAGGTTGAGCGGCCGTCGTCTCCCTCGGTGTCGGACGACGATCCTTTCTCGGACCGCGCTCTGCATTCTTTAGTGAAGGAGGAAAAGTACCGACCTCGATCACCGTCACCGTCTGAGGACTTCATCGGGTTCACTGAGGTGGACCGGGACAGGTTAGGACATGATTCAGTGCTGTTGTTGAAATTTTAGTTGTTATTTGACATAGTAGACAATGATATATTATCCTTGATGAATTCTAATAACATTTGCATTTGTCTGTTCTTTCAGTGCCTGTTTCATCTCCAATGCAAAAAGGAGTCTGTTACTTGGTTGTTCGTCTGCCATTCGAGACTCTACTGAAGGTAAGTTTATATATGTGAAGAGACTGTAAGCAATGGGTTTATCGTGATATCCTCGGTCTTACTTTTATGCCCTTTTCAGAGAAAATGTAAGTTTTATTTTTATGTTTGGTTTCGTACTCTACAAAGTGATTGAATGGCATTATCGAACCATTCTTATGTTCAATCGCATGCACTCTATTGAACTGACGCGTTACCGAAATGCCACCGAATTATTTATTACCCTGTTGAATTTATTGCAGTTTTTGCTGAAGGAGTGTTCATCAAGAGTCAACGTCTCGTCATCAACTACCGTGATGTGGACGGTCTCGATGATAGTAACATATGTGAGTATTCTCCCGATTTTAGTCAGCTACCTTGTCCTCATCAACGGACGAATGTCCACGATAAGCACTCATATTGCAGACAAATTAAACCGAATACAGACGCATTGTTTCCGTCTAACGGAACCTTGAACGATTAAACCTTGGTGTGCTCTTCATCAAATCGCTAATAATTTTTTCGCCCTTCTTTCTGACAGTTTGTGACGTGTGCTGCCGCGATTGGGACGGTGAATGTCCCGTCCATGGACCGCTAAAGATCATACACGATACCAAGGTAAGGACTGGTCCATACTGGTCTGATTCGTATTCTTTACACATGACTCCTCTCACATTTAGACATTAAATAATATGACCAATTGTGCCTGATGCCCTTGTGACGGAACGACATGAGCTTCATGTAAAAATAATATATTTCTTTCACATTTACGTAATCCTCTTCCTCATAGCATGGATGAAGTATTTACTCTAATCCATGCTCATAGTTATATTATTGCTTTGCTTCTGTCTTGTTAGCAGGTAATACTGTCATGGGTACGTGGTCAAGAACAGGTTCATGATCTATATTCACAAAACATACCCGTCTGATTTACAAACAGGCTTAAGATAATCTCAATGCGTGGATTGTATTGTCGACATTGCTCCCCACATGCGCTGAACATTCCAGGCACGACCCGGTATCGGAGATGTTGACAGGGACGTCAAGACCCTGCCGCCTTCTCTCAGCTCTGGTCAGTCGACAAATCCAGCGTCTGGCACCGGTAAGTTAATGAGGCAAGACAAATGGCGATACGTAACAACTGCTGCTGGACGTTTGATGCATCATTTGGTGATGGTTGCTTGTGTTGTATGATTTCATGTCTCATGTATCAGTACATGTTGTGTCCATTTAGTTGAGGTGAAGGCTTATATTTATTTGATTCCAGGAGTTTTGGCGGAGAAGGACATACCTGCGCGCCAAAGACTCGGTCCTTACGAGGGCACCTTGACCACCGAGCAGGGTCAGGCCCGAAGTCGAACAACCGGGTACAGATGGCAGGTCAGTTCAGTTGTTTTGTTTTGCAGGTAAAAAACGCATATTTTCACTTTAGACTTACTTGATACTTCAACGATAAAAGCTATTAAAAAAAAAAACATTTTAAGACCAATGATAGCAACATATAAATTTTATAATGTTTTCATTGCACATGCCATATTTTTACTTTTTTCTTTGGAATGATGAACTACGGTTTTGTTTGGTACCACAGATCAAGAAGGGTAAGCGCGTGCATCACTCGGTGAATGCCGAAGACCCGAGCTGCAGCAACTGGCTCAGAAGGGTCAACTGTGCCCGCTCGGAGGAAGAACAAAACCTAGTGGCCTTCCAGTACCGGGGCCAGGTATACTTCAGGTGCGTTGTAGTCTTGGAATCCACGGATCTATTCTTCCTAACTGCGTTACGTATTTTATGCGCGGTTCGTCCTGTGGCCCATATTTTTCTTTAATGGATTCGTCGAAGTTATTAATGACTGTGTAAGTGTTGTGACTACACCAATCAAGCTTTCATCAATAATGCTATATTTATCTCCCTATGCAGGACGTCAAAGCCCGTTCCGCGGGGCTCTGAGCTGCTGGTGTACTACGGTGACGACTCGGCCCGGGAACTGACCGTCCACTCGGAGACGTCTGAGAAATCTGTGATTTCCTCTCCGGCCGGACCTTCATCTTCAGGTCAGTTCATCGTTTGCGGCTCCGAGAGCTATGGTGTCCATCGAAGTGACGCTGGTAATGCCATTTACCCTTCTGCCGACAGTAGACTGTTTTTTGCCCGGTTCGTTGAGAAGTTCTGCTACTTTGACGTATGCAGGCACGACGTTTATATGCCAACTTACATGGGCTCGGTTCGTAACTTGAACTGGCATTTCGGCTTGCGACCTAACCGGGTTAGGTCGTTCTATGCTAAAGCAGCTCGCATAATGCGACCTGCTTTGGCATGGAACGTTTTTTTAATGGCCTTTCTTCTTTCTGTGTATTCTTCAGGAATCAGTGGCTCGGTCCAATGTCCCCAATGCGGCTTCAGATGTTTGGGAAAACATTGTCTGGACGGACACGTGAAGAGAAGTCACGGTCATATGGGCAGGAACGGCAGCTTGAAGTGCGAGTGGTGTCAATACTCGACCGACAGGTCCGACTGTATGAAAAACCACCGCAGAACTCAAACAGGGGAACGGCCATACGGCTGCTCCATCTGCCAGGCACGGTTCTCTAGGCGGTCAGGTCTCACCGATCACATGCGGACCCACACTGGGGAGCGGCCATACGGCTGCTCTATCTGCACGGCACGGTTCACAGGACGGTCCAACCTCACCAGACACGTGCGAACCCACACTGGGGAGCGGCCATACGGCTGCTCTATCTGTACGGCACGGTACACCAAACCGTCCGCCCTCACTATACACATGCGGACTCACACTGGGGAGCGGCCATACGGCTGCTCCATCTGCACTGCACGGTTCTCTGTTCGAGCAAGCCTAAACAACCACATGCGGATTCACACTAGGGAGCGGCCATACGGCTGCTCCATCTGCAAGGAACGGTTCACTAAACGGTCAAATCTCACCAGACACATGCGGACCCACACTGGGGAGCGGCCATACGGCTGCTCCATCTGCAAGGCACGATTTACTCTACGAGGAAGTCTCACCATGCACATTCGGACCCACACTGGGGAGCGGCCGCACGGATGTTCACATTGCCAGGCTCAGTTTGCTAGGCGGGGAGATCTCAACGAACACATACGTACCCACACGGGGGAGCGGCCTTACGGTTGCTCCGTTTGCACAGCACGCTTTGCTAAACAGTAAACCCTTACGACACATATGCGGACCCACACTGGAGAGCGACCTTTCGGTTGCTCCATCTGCAAGGCACGGTTCACTCGGCGGTCAGACCTAAATAATCACATGCGGACCCACACTGGGGAGAGGCCGCACGGCTGCCCGATCTGCATTGCACGGTTCACTGTTCGATCAAGTCTTATCAAACACATGCGTACCCACACGGGGAAGAGGCCGTACGGCTGCTCACACTGCCAGGCCCGGTTCGCTCAACGGGCGCACCTCACTGAACACGTGCGGATCCACACTGGGGAGAGGCCTTTCGGCTGTTCACATTGCCAGGCCCGGTTCAATGAACGGGGAAGTCTCAGCAAATACATGCGTACCCACAGTCACACGAAGGAGCGGCCGTAAGGCTGCTCAGTGCTCAACTTGCCGGGCTTTGTTCGCTCAACGATAAAGTCTCATGAAACAAATGCCTACCCACCCGAGGGAGCGGCCATATGGCTGCTCAACCTGCACGGCACGGTTCGCTTCGCTTCGCTGTCAAACCTAACCAAACAGATGCGTAGGTGCTCACACTGGGAAGAGGCCGTTTGGTTGCTCTGTCTGCGTTGGACGGTTCACTGCTCGATCCAGCCTCACCATACACATGGGGACCCACACTGGGGGAGCGGCCGTACGGCTGCTCCATCTGCACGGCACGGTTCGCGAGACCGGCAGTCCTCAACAGACACATGGGGACCCACACGGGGGAGCAGCTATATGGCTGCTCCATCTGCACGGCACGGTTCGCGAGACCGGCAGTCCTCACTAAACACATGCGGACCCACACAGGGGGAGCGGCCGTATGGCTGCTCCATCTGCACGGCATGGTTCGCGAGACCGGCAGTCCTCAACAGACACATGCGGACCCACACGGGGGAGCGGCCGTGCGGCTGCTCCATCTGCACGGCACGGTTCGCGAGACCGGCAGTCCTCAACAGACACATGCGGACCCACACAGGGGGAGCGGCCGTATGGCTGCTGTTTCTGCAAGGCACGATTCATTGTTCAATTTCTAGTGATAGAGAACTGCATGCCTTAAGCAATTGTTGAAGGTGATAGTGGTGAATGGTAGGGCCCAGCCACTCAGCTCCTTCCTTCAAAAGCTATCAATCAGCTCTAGAAGAGTAGTCATAGCAATGCTTCATATGTGAAGGCTACTTGTAGTAGTAGTAGTAGTTTATTAAGACCCTCCATTGACATGGTTTTTATGGCGTCTACGTCAATGACAAATAAACAGACATTGTAAAAACGCTTAGGCAAGACAGGTGCTACATAAAAATGACACACTGGCATAAAACAGTGAATATAAAACACATGTGAGAACCGTGCCTATACCTGCATGACAAGTGACAGCTGACTACCTGTGGCTATTCCACGCACTCGCCGCACGATGAAGAAAACTTCGGCGGGCAAACTCGGTGCGGACCCGGGGCAGCTGCAGCCGGCCGTCGGACACGGCGCGGGTGCTGCGGGATGACACATCGGCTCGCAGTGCGAACTGTTGGCGCAGAAGTTCGGGAGTGATAGATGAGTCGATGATGCGAGTGACGTTTGCGAGGTCACGCTCGGCGATCAACTCGTCTACGGTGGGCCACCCCAGTTCCCGTAGCGCCGCAGTCACGTGATCGCGCCGTCTAAGACCGCTAACAATACGCGCACCAAAGTTAATAGCTTTCTGGATGCGACGCTTCTGTGTGACCGTACAGCTTCCCCACACACTTAAACAGTAACGTATGTGGGGAAATACTAGAGCTTCGATCATCAGCTGTCTTGTGCATCTCGGTAGCTTATGCCGGATCCTGGCCAGGCACACCAGCACGCAAAAGCACTTACGAACAACACCCGTGATGTGTTCATCCCAAGTCAGGTGAGAATCGATGACGACCCCCAGAACCCTGACACTGTGGTTTGGTTTGAGCTCATCGTTTTCAAAATGAATCGAGAATGTTGAATCAAGATTTTGACGTCTAGATTTAATTATTATCAGCTCAGTTTTAGCTGGGTTAATTTTCAGACGATTTTGGGTGAACCATCTCAGTCCAACTGAGAGAGAAGTTTCGATGCGGTCCTTCAAGTTTTGCAAGTTTGCATAAGAGTCAGTGTCAAGGAACTGGGTGTGTGAGGTAAATCATTGGTGAAAATCAAAACAAAATCGGCCCCAAAATCGAACCTTGGATCACTCCATGAGACACGTTCATAGCAATTGATCCACCTCTCACACACTGTGTGCGTCCTCTCAGCCAGGCCGAGAACCATCCGGAGTCAATGCCGTACCAACCGAGTTTGTCCAGGAGACGGCCATGCTCAACGCTGTCAAAGGCCTTCGACGTATCAGCGGTAACAAGTGACGTCACGCGGCCGTTATCGATGTTCGTCACCGCGTACGTAACAGCATCGAGCAGGGCCGCCTCCG